CTTCATGATGAAAATACTATACATAATTTCGGAAAGCGCACGTACAAAGCAAGCTGGAAAAACACTATTGCAAAACATGGGAGGCGTTAAGTTCGTGGCTCTATTTTTATTAAAATTTTCAAATTACACAACATAATTCTGATCGCTGTATGCTTCGTTAAGTCAAAATTACCCGTGTATTTTTCAGGATATTTGCAGCAATCACATACTGCCTTAAACCAATTTAAGTACTAAGGATTACATGTTAACAAAGCACCGCAATCCTTCAAAACATCCATCGACAGAGGATAGTCTTCTTGCAGGCGGGTACCCTCTTTCTTGATGGCGGGTATCCTCTTTCTTGTAGGCGGGTCCCATCTTCCTTGCAGGCGGGCCATGGTCCATACCCTCTTTCTTGCAGGCGGGGTTGACAGATACCCGATGCGATGTAAAAATTTTAACTCACTCCACTCAATCTTGCAGGCGGATACCCTTTTCTTGTAGGCGGGGTACCATTTCAGGCAGGCGGGTTCCATTTTTAAAACACCTGTTTTATGACTAACAGAGAGATTTATTAGGTTTATAGAAAATGTGTAATCTCAGCAATGGTGGGTTTCTGTACACGACATAAATGGCACAAATCATACCTGTAGTTGATACACGAATGGTTGTGGCCAAATGTGCACACATGCCGTTATCAAAGCAAGAGAAGTCGTGGAAGTTGTAGCTTGTGATCAAGCTATCAAATCACGGCATCAAATACAGCACAGATTCATGAGTATTACTGAACATCCACTCGAACTTTGAGCGCTTCTATAACTCTCAGTACCCCGTGCTATGGTTAGTATGATATGGCAGTTTGATGGGGTAAGTTTATTGAAACCAAAATGGCCAAAGAGCGATAAACAATTCTGATTTTAGGGCCGCTTCACATCGCATAGGAATTATGTGCATGCTATGTGAAGCTGCCCTGTTGTGAGTTTTCAATATCTACAAAATGTAGTTATTATTCAATTTTTAAAACTCACATTTCTACTGAACGTTATTTATCATATGTTTTAGCGTTGAGAAATTTAGAATATCTTTAGCTCGTTTACGTTGTTTATTGGAAATATACAAGGATGGAGAACTGAGCCCTGCTGCACTCCTGAACATGTGTTCACAGAGTTTATGGCTCCACACCACGTCAGTGGAATGCTTGATGTGTGCACTTGTGTGATAATGTCACATTTATGTGTGGAGTGATGATGTCTGTAGTGAACTTTAAAGATGTGTGAATTATGAACATTTGAACTACTAATGAATATTTGATCACATATCAACAACTGAATGTATGATTATCACATTATATATTATTACTACATATTGATACAAATATAATAAAACATATTAAAGATATATTAGTTTGTATGTTCTTATTTGAATTTGACCTATGGCCCTTTTGACTTTACTCTACGGCCCTTTTGACTTTCCTTTAGCCCTTTCGACTTTTCTTTGGCCCTTTTGACTTTTACAATGTTGACCCTTTTGTCCTTTGGCCCTTTTGACTACAACCTAACGAACATGTCGGTTTATCAGCCAACACTTCTTTGAGTGACATTTTATAAGTTGGGAAGTACAATATATACTAGGCACATAAAGAAACTGCGCATACAAAAAATTAAAATCTACATTTATCAAACCTGTATAGACACATAGGGACTTAAACTCAGAGATTAGTGACATGTCTCCAACATGCATGCACGTGCCACGTTCTGTGACGTCAGTGGGTTCGTCCTTGAGACGTGCAATACGTTGTTGCAGGTGCATTCCGGGAAAGAGAAACAGAGCAAATGAATGCCACGCAATACTGTCACTTTGGAAAGCTCAACCCCTGCCCCCTGCACCCTGAAAATTAAACGGCTATTGAAACGCATGGCATGCCAAGGCTCACGTCTTCACAACGTTATGAGGCCATTGGGATGGTCCGTGGGGGAATGTCTCAACCGGAACACCATTTCTGCACTGGTGAGACGCTACCAGAACACAAATGACGTCATCGATCGGTCACGTTCTGGACGTCCACGTGTAACAACGCCAAGGCAGGAGAGATGGATAAGGGTGACCCATCTGCGCTACAGGTTTCAGACTGCAGTGATGACTGCCCGAACCATCCCAGGACTTCGTCGTATCCACCCCAACACAGTTCGACAACGTTTACGTCATCACGGGATCAGACCACGACGTCCCGCCATTCGTCGGTTTCACATTATTTTGCGACTCGCGGCGCGCATGCGCAGAGCGTGTAAATAATCCTCCGGTCAACTTCCGTTTTGGCTGTCAGTCGTCAGTCGATCGCTCCTTATCATGAGTTTGACAGATCAACAACGTTCTCCTCGGATCTTAGGAAAAGGCAATCGACAAGGAAGTTTTTTTTGTGTGCCTGGGTGTACAAACTTCACGCAGAATGGTGTCAAGGTGTCAGGTTGACTTATCACAGTATTCCCATAAACGACGTGAAGCGGACGAAACTCTGGCTTGATCTCATCAGAACAGATGCTTGGTTTCCAAATTCCTCCAGCAGAATTTGTTCCATTCATTTCGAAGTAGGTATGTATTTTTGAAAATAAATATTACCTGTTAATGTCAGTGGTATAACATGGGCTGATAGAAATATCATTTCCCCGTTGTGTTTGATACAAAACTATTTTGTAACCAAGACCACGTCACAATCCTAAAATTACAACCCTGTTTCAATTCAACTGTTCAAAACAACAAAACACTATCATCTTGTCAGATAAATACTAATATTTCATAGTTTACCTGCTACTGTATCATTAGTTATATAATAAAAAAAACACTTACAGTTCGACTTCCAAGTGTTTTGACTGGTCTGTAGAAAATTCAGTAAATCTACTTAAGGTTAAAGCTACACACATCTCAGACTAACCAATCACTTTTACCAGTACATAAAAATTTATTTCAAGATTTTACCAGTAAAAAGTCCAAAATTTGGATAATATCTGCAAGATTGGAGTTCTAATTATTAAGGTTATTATAGTGGATTAAATTAGATAGATATTACAGTGGTACTGAAACCCCTGTTTCCAAAAGTCACCAAGTGTAGCCTGAAACCAAAATTGACAGGCTTCGGGTAAACCTGTCTCACATTTCGTTATTTGTTGCTGACATGTGTTTTTAGAAGCTCAGAGAGGAATAAGTATTTGGAAGTGGCAATACTTTTTATTACCATTGAGTTTCGGTATTTGGGGAGGCAAACTGTTACATGTGTTTTAGTTCATGTGAATACAAAACAATGAATGACATATAACTGTCCATCTTTAAAACTCACAATCAATGGCTGTTACATGACCAGTGGTAACATGAATTGGACATTGTCAGTAATTTATGGTCATGCCATCACCACCATTGTCAATCAGCTAAACTGCATCATCAGACATACTAAACACCTGACCTGCCAACTTCATGACAACATGTCATCAGACTTTGACCACACATGCTCAAATGACACTTGCTAATTGGACAAGGTAAGTTAATTAGCTAAGCATTTATTTGATGATGTAATAAGTTGAATAACAATGTTAAAAAACTGTTTTATTTTGATTTTTGAATGATATTGCTTAATTTGCTTATTCAACAACTTACTACTAATTTTTTCTCACAAAAAGGTTTTGTTTCCTGTCAATACTGATTAAATGTCAATAGCCGGATACAAAACATAATAAATGGAAAACACAACAAGGAAGTGAAACTCAGGAATAACAATTGGGAAAATGGCCACTTGTGCACTGTATCAGAACTATGACTACATAGCAAATACTTTAACGTAAGGAGTTGGTTATCGTATGCATAGTAACTGAAACGACATGCAGCTGAAAATCAGGTTATATAAAGTTTGAGGTAAAACTGTATACATTGGGTGAGTAAGTAGAGAGTTTTGTTTTACGCCACACTCAGCAGTATTCCCGCTATGTGGTTGCGGTCTGTAAATAATTGAGTCTGGACCAGACAATCCAGTGATCAACAGCATGAGCATCGATCTGCGCAATTGTTGTACATTGGGTATATATGAAGTGGTGATATTCACAGGAAGTAGTTACTTATTTAAAAAACTGAAGTCAGTACGCCATTACTGTAAAGTACTGTTCTGACGTCATATCCTTGATTATAAGAATAAGAATTTATTTATCATCACATAAAACAGGAAATATTTTTTATAGCATTTCCAGTCGTCTTGATATGGAAATTTGTTAAGGCAATTGTTATTTTTTATTTGATTATCGTTTCATGGATTTGGTAATACATTATAACTTGCTCTGCAGAAATGAAGAGTCTTTATGGATATTTATCTTCTTTATCACACAGTATCCTTAAAGACTCGTCATTTCTGTCACTACCAACTTCTAGAATGCCTCTCAAACAGTTCATTTTCTCTACAGGCAAGAAATCTGACGATCCAAAGAAACCAGGATACATCCCAACTATCTTCCCTTCTCGCCAAAAACCGATGAAGCGACGAACCACCCTGAATTCATCCAAAACTAAGTCACCTCCAGCAAAGCGTGTCTGCCGCAAGATCTTCCCTGATAGTTCTGCTTTATCTCCCAGCTCTGACACCCTACTTCTTTCCCCACCCAGCACAGCCACTGATGACAAGCTATCGTCTCCTGTCTCAGAGCAAGAAGACTCTACCCATGCTCCTGAATACTCTACACCTGCTTCTGAAGACTCTACACATGCTTCTGAAGACTCTACCCATGCTTCTGAAGACTCTAAGACTCTACACATGCTCCTGAAGACTCTACACATGCTTCTGAAGACTCTACACATGCTTCTGAAGACTCTACACATGCTTCTGAAGACTCTACACCTGCTTCTGAAGACTCTACACATGCTTCTGAAGACTCTACACCTGAAGCTTCTGCTTCACAAGACTCTACTCTACACATGCTTCTGAAGACTCTACACATGCTTCTGAACTCTACACTCTATACTCTACACTGCTTCTGAAGACTCTACACATGCTTCTGAAGAAGAGCCTCAAGTCTGAAGACTACACATCTCGGATGACTCATAACTACGAAGACTTGGCTACTCCGTATATAGATGGATGGACTCCCTGCAACGATGAGATGGAGAAGTTAAAACTTCAGCTTCAGCATCTTCAACGCGAGAATGAAAACCTGAAGAAGAAGACACTCTGTCTATCCAGCTATAAGGACAATGAAGTGAATTTCCACTACATGACCAATCTACCAAACTACAATACTTTTGAAGTACTGGCTATGTTTCTGCATAGAAGATGTGACGGGGGGCTTAACTACTGGAGACATCAACAGTCATGTAACAACACACGTCGTTCCATTAAGAAGCCTGGAAAGGAACGCACACTAAACTTCCAAGAGGAACTATTTCTTGTGCTCGTGCGACTTAAGCGAGGTATGGAGTTAAGAGACATGCATTTGAGAACTGGAGTAAGTGTATCTACTTTGTCAAGAATCTTCACAACTTGGATCGACTTCATGAACAACGAGCTGACTGCCTATTTTGAGATGGTCGCAGTTGATCTCAGTCATGTGCAGACAATGCCATGTATGGCCCCATTTCCAGAAGTGACGATAACGCTTGACTGCACAGAACTCTTCTCACAGCGCTCTATGGACCTTCAGGTACGAAAAGAAACATTTTCCAACTACAAACACCATGACACTGTGAAATTGCTAGTTGGAATGGGCCCACGTCAAGCTGTGAATTTTGTGTCAGCAGCGTTGGGAGGAAGAGCTACAGACAAACACATAACACTCAACAGTGAGAAGCTCATGTCCAACCTAGCTCCAGGTTCCAGCGCCATGGCCGACCGCGGTTTCCTTGCGACTGAAGAACTCCGCTCACTTGGTGTTAAGATGATAATGCCACATTTCAAGGGCAGAGACAGGCCTCAGTTCTCTGCTACTGAAGCTTGGCGCTCAGCGCAAATCAGCAGTGCACGTATACACATCGAACGTGTCATCCAACGCATCAAAACTTTCCACATTCTTGAGAACTCCATCCGAATGGACCAAAAGGATATGATTGAACAAACATTTAGAGTTTGTTCATACCTTGTTAATCTGCAAAGACCTATTTTAAACGATTAAGAATGTATTCTAATATTGTATGCTTGTTATGCTTGTGTTTTGTCAATGTAATGGCAAAGAAGAGTGAAAAAGTAACAACACTGGAGTAGAGGTTGATTGATATATTTACAACCAATGTGATCTCATTTTGTGAACACCACACATAATTGTGAATGTTATGGCTCATTTGACATGACAATGGTACATACATTATCTTAATGGGCAATGACAACCAGGACTTTATTTCTTACATAGTCTCAGGCTAATGAAAAATAAATAACATGAACTTCATATGTACTTACCCAATAGTACAAGTACAATATGCAGAACAGGGGTCTCCAGTCACGGTGTCGAGCACCAGGTGAAGCGCTTTAACATCCTCTGCCTGTGTGCTTTGCGAGGGATTGCACCTAGCCTGGATGCAATACAACTCGGAATATTCCGGATGTTGTGTCACAAGAACTGAGTGAATATTGTCCTCAACTTATATGCACGAGAAAGTTTGTATGTCTTGAGTTGACTCTTGTCTAAAATGTTACATCCAAGGAGATATTTCTTCACAACAGCCTCGTCGATGTCAGGGAGCGATGAAATGTCACGAGACCACGACTTGAGGCGGAGAAGGTTCAATGGGGTAAGCTTCCGAAGTGTCAGTATCTGTTCTGCAGTAAGTCGCTCTACTCCTATGGTCAAAAATCCACGGTCAGGTGAAGCACATCCAGTGGTACTGAGACCTAAAATGTGACACAAGAAAATGACACGGGCTGTCCTTGGCAAAGTGTTCGAGATGTGATGTCTTACACACACAGCCTTAAGTTCGTTTGCACTTAACTGATTTACTTCTGTAAAACTCTTGTACTTTAACACTGGTTTCAACTTGTTACTAGGCATGTTACAAAATGCAAAAGCAATAGTGAATATGTGAGGACTGAGTAAAATCAATGCATGCATATATATAGACCCCATTCTGAATATCTCCATCTCAGTTAAACTGTAGAGGACGTGGAGTTAATGATATTAATGAAGTTAACAATTGCATTTTACTTTGATTTCATATTGTTAAAATAAAAATCAAAACAAACATACAGTTTTATGTCGAATACAATTGATCTCAAGTCATTTATGAAACAAAGGCGGGGATTAGCTAAATAAGTACCTTAACAAGCTCTTGTGTATACAGGGGCGGTGGGGTAGCCTAATGGTTAAAGCGTTGGCTCGTCACGCCGAAGACCCGGGTTCGAATCCCCACATGGGCACGATATGTGAAGCCCATTTCTGGTCTCCCCCGCCGTGATGTTGCTGGAATATTGCTAAAAGCGGCGTAAAACCAAACTCAGTCAGTCTTGTGTATACACGTCCACCGTCCTTCCTGCACATCCCCTTCTCACAACTGATACCACATCTCCGAAGCAATTGCAACAAAAACAGACATCAATTATTGAAAACCAGACGCAATTGGAAGTGTGTACTTACCTATGAACTGTTGTCACACGTAAATAATCTTCATAACAGCTTTTCTACGGAGTGTGTTTACACTATCCGTAAACCCACGACCAAAACGGAAGTTGACCAAAGGATTATTTACACGAGATGGATCGACGTCTACGTGAATCTGGCGTGACATCCCACAAGCCTTCCTTGCACGTTTGATAGGCTCTATGCTTCGTCGATGCACTTATGTTCTCAGTGCCGATGGTGGACATACATGTTATTGAGCTTGTGACATGGTCGTTTGACCCCTGTCCCGCTTGTGGACTCGTGACGTCATTGTGATTGACTTTTCAATTGAAATTCTCCCGACTTGTTATGATATGGTCTCATGATCCCTCCATTAAAGTTTATAAGTACCTTTGACATTGTTATCGTACTTATCAACTGGGATAATATTTTGACAATGCACAGTTTCTTTATGTGGCTAGTATACTTCCCCTCGCGTATTTTTGTCGCAGTTTGACTAGCCATGTGGTTAGGAAATTGCCGTGAGGTTGCCGCGAGTCACGAAACGCACGTGCGTATCATTCCGTAGTTTACCCAATAAAACTGCTAGCCATTTCTTTCTGTTCTTTTCAATTTATTATGCTTGTTTAGATTATAAGACTTAAGGAATATTCCGGATATTCTGGAACATTGTAGTTGACGAAAAAGGTACTTAGTTTAGGAAAATTAGCAAGGTATATTTGCTCTGGTTATTATTATTTTTTTGAGTTCCTAGGATCTGTTGGTAGGGGTTTCAAGCACGCCTACACCTCTGAATGTAAATACTGCCGATGTTGGGCAGCTACAACTTCAGAAAGGTATCGGTTCAGGCCGGGCTAGGGCCATTGTGCATGAGCGTGAATTGTGTGTGGGATTTCTCACTGAAGATATGGCAAGGCAAATCCATGACATACCTACTTCTATATAGCAGTTGGGGCAATCAAACAATGTGGTTGTCTCTATGCAGAAAGAGATTACTTTCAATAGAAGTGAAATTGAGGTCAAGGATAGATACATTAAACAGTTGGAGAGACAAACAATGATTGGGTTAGACATATTAGATTCTAGAATTGCATCCCAACCCAAAGCGGACAATGATCCAGTGGAGTCTCCAATTAGCTGTTTAGTTGACAACTTGGCACCGTCTGGAATATATGGTAGGTGTAAGCCCTCATTTCATTCCCAAACTGGAAATCTTCTACATAAAGGCGAAAATACATACAATCACCAAACAGACACCCAAGCACCATTTAGTAGTCGCAGGGCTTCTGTAGGTGGTCAGACAGTTCAAACCACCCAAGGACTCCTCCGGTCAGGTTAGGAACGTATGATGGGAAAGCGGAATGGAAACGATTTGAAATTCAATTTGAAAGAATGGCTACTACTTGTCAGTGGGAACGAAAATTAGATCTTCTTGTTGAGGTATTACAAGGAAAGGCTCTGAAATTCTTCAGTACTCTGTCTGAATCGGTTCAAAACAGTTATCATAGCCCATTCTCCACTTAAGAGCTCGTTTCGAACACACTGATCTCCCACACACAATAAGAAGGGAAATTATGGGGTTGAAGCAATCTTCGGACGAGCCGATTGAGGAGTTTGCTGAAAAGGTAAAAGAACTAGTAGTAGCAGGGTATCCCGATGCGCCCGATCATGTGTGGGAAAAAGCTGCAATAGATATTTTTCTCAAGGGGTGTAGAAACAAGGAAGCCGCATTATCAGCAATGGATAAAGTCCCAAATACTTTAGACGAAGCTCTACAAATGGTAAAAACATTTTGAAACAATCTCAGAATTATTCTTGGCTCTGGGAGGGCGGAAGTCAGAAAGGTCCATTTCACAGAGGATGATAATTCAGATTTCTTTGTTAGTACTCTAGAGAATGGGAAAACTGTAGCTTAGGATCAGGAGTTTTTGATAAAATGTTTTTCAGAGCTTTCGAATGAAAATGCCAAAACTAAGGCTTGCCTCGAAGAAATGATAGATACATTAAAACATGTAATGCGGGAACTTACTGAGCGACAGTCTAGATCCCAAAGTCCTAGGGCACGGAGAAACTGTTACACTTGTGGGGAGGAGGGCCATTTTGCAAGAGACTCAGGGGTTCAATTTTTTTTTGAAAAGCCACTTTACTTTAAGAAAGTGACTTGTCCTGACTAATTTTCCACTTGCCCTGATTTTATGACATAATTATGATGATGTAATTATGAAAGAAGAAATTAACATGGTATTTGATGTTAATGTTTACTGGACTATTTATTGAAAAGTGATAAATAGCAAAGATAGATAACTCTACTTTATTACCATTGCAAAATTTAACGGCTACATTTTAAGCAGATGTGAAATTAAATCAAAGTTTATTTGCAGTTTGAAACCATTAGTGGAAATTATCTAGTAGCCCACGGACAAGTAAGATACCATTATTTGATTGCCCGAAATGAAAACTGACTTGTCCCGGGCGTCGGGCGATGGGATTTTTGAATCCCTGCAGACTGTCCTGCTTGTTATCTAAACTATATCATTTCATGCCCCAAATCATACATTATTTAATGTTGTAACAGTTTCTAGTTTTTATTAATGCACAATACAATCTGACATAAGGTAAAGTACTCGCGTGCTGTCGACAATTGTTTATTGCTTACATTGCAATTTTGACGGCCAGCTGACGGCTGCGCACCGTGACACAAGACATACACGCCTACAACCACTCTCCCACTGTAATGCTACGTCATCACCACGTGAAATGGGTCTGATAAGGTCTCTTGACGTCATTCGTTTATCAGTTTGGCATCAATAACGTCATGTGCGAGGACTTAAGCCATTGTGTTGTGGATATAGAACTCTCGGTAAATCGGTCATTCCCAACGAAACTGCACAGAGACGATAGTGAAGAGAGCCAGGATCACTTCAGTCCAAAGAAATGTTTATTTTCCAAAACTACAAGTTTTGAATGAACAGTTAGTACTTTTCCAGCGCTCAGTGAACAGTATCAAACTTGCAGCACTAGTTTGAAGTAAGGTATCCGTAAACGCGCAAGTGATTTACGTTCATGGGTAACTAATAGTATCAACATAAGCTGCGAGAAAATGAACTCTTTTGTTTTTGTTTTGATTCAAACATCGAATAAAGAAACAATGAATTCATCTGAAAACCAAAAAAAATGTGTACTCGGTAAAGCGTATTTAACACTGTTGACGCCAAATAATAACTGTTCAAAATCCAGAAGTGACGGAACCACGCATACCACATGTACATTGTATCAAAGATTACAATCAGAAACTTGAAAGTAAAACTTTCCCTTTCACGAAAACGCCATGGAATCATACAAAATGGGAATGAATATATTTTGGCTTGAACTGTTAAGCACCTTTACCATCTTACAGTTCTACTATCGTTGTAACTTACGTTCTTGTTAAATTCTTTTGATTAAACGCCATGACAAAACAGTAAAACTCTTTGCACCAGATCAAAAGAAAAGTTTATTCTGAAAATATGGCTTCGTGCAACATTGAGATATCTCTTGGGATTAAACATTTTGTTTATTTTTCC